CCAGATGGACCAACAGCAAAACTCCCATCATTTTATAAGAGCACTTAAAACCGTCTGAAATCAAAGCACTGCTCCCCACAAAAGCTCGGGCTGTCCTATCACCCAAAGAGCCAGAAAAGGGCTTTCTGCTTCGTTCAGCACTCCTTGCAAGTTCAGAGTACAGTGCAGGGGTTTAGGGCGCAAAAGCCTCCGAGCATGAGATTTCTGCCAGGACAGCAGCTCAATCCTGCTCTCTGGTGGCTCACACCCGAAAGGACAAATGCATCCAGCAGCGATGTCTTCTTGGAGCAACGAGAGATGTACACCGTGCCTTGCCCAGTGTGTTCCCTCATGGGCTGGAAAGGGTCTGTACTCCTCTTTCTTTATTAATTTAGCTCAAGATACAGCTCAGAGGGCAGCTGTGCACAAGAAGATGGAGATCGTGGAAGGTTTTAAGATTCCCTGCTCGAGGGTAGCACGGGTCCGTCACTGGAGAGGGACTGTAGGCTCCATAAAGGCTGCAACCCACCGCCCTTCTTTTAAAAGCCCCTCCAAACTCTTTGCATCATGGGAAGCATCCTGCTGCTCTGCACAAATTGCTCACAACCTCTGCAACAGCTTTTCCTGGGCTGCCCCAGTTTGTAAACATCCCTCCCAATATCATGTCTCCTTGCTGAAGGGCCACAAAGTATGGAGCAAGCCAGGGAGCATTTCTTCTAGATTTCCTCACCCTGTCCCCACTGAGGTGTACCCAGTGTCCCAGCACCACCGATGCAGCAGCACAATGGGCTCACTTGAAGTGCAGGGCACAGCAGATGTCCCTTGAGGACACCACCTCTGCTGTTACCACCACCACCATCAGTCTCCCAGGGCTGGGCAATCACTGCCTGTGCCCCCAGGAATGGTTTTGTCAATTTAACACACCATGAGGCAGCATCCTATAAAGCCTGGGCTCATGCCTTGCTATTCTGAGGAGCATTTAACCACCTTCTCCATGCTGGCTTCACCCTGTAAAGTTTTAAATGCAGAGATGACCCCCTATTCTTTGCTCTGTAACACACAATAAAGAAAAAGAAGGGGCCAAACTTGTCCCCCCCTCACCAGCTTTGCTGCCCTGGCTCTGCTCCCCACCTCCCCAAGCACCAGAGCTGCTCAGCGTGTAAATGTGTGTAAATCTTTGGCAGTATCCACAATAGCCCCCTATCTCCTGCTCTCTTTCTCTGAGCGGCTGGAGTAATTACAGTGTAGCAGTGCCAGCACGAGGCATTTCTGCTGATGAATGCACTCAATCTAAGCACAGTTTTATGTATCATTAATTCCTTTAGCGCTAAAAAAAACCCCAAACTTTTTTGATGGCAGATAATACTGTAATCACTCACAATTGCCAATACAATTATCTTCATTCAGCTGTGTAAAACAACTACAGGAGTAATTTTAGCCACTTAAATTTTCTTTCTCTTTTTTCTTTTCTCCTTGTTTTTTAATGTTCACATGAAATGTAAAGCTGTTTGGACTCAGGTTGCTGTAACACAGGCACTACTAGAAATGAGTCCCCACACCCCCATTTGTGTAGAGAGGAGGTTTTCAGAGTCTGATCCCAGTGCTTGCAAGGTGCACTATTTGCTTAAGGTGTCTTCAGCAATCTTAGGGATCTCCCAAAGGGTCCTCCCCATCCTGGGGACCCCACTGCTGTGACCTCTTCAACTTTTCCTTACTCTCCATCAAGCTACCACGCAATAGCTGCCAGGTGCACAAGGTGCAAAAAGAGCTTGCGCAAGTGCCAGTTGCACATACAAGTCATGGTCCTCTTCCAGGTCAGCTCCTCCTCCATTCTGCTGGCGGAGAAAATACATGAGCACTCCCTAATCTGCTTTAGAGCAGAGTCCACAAAGCTGGCACAAACTACATGCTCAATTTGCTTACAGTAACTCAGATACTCCAGCTTGAAGCAGACTACAGAGCAACCAGCCCTTCGACTGGCAGAGCTCTGGAGCACAATCAGTGAGGAGAACAAGCATCTTCTACAGGCAGAGGTGACTACAAAGGGAACAACAAAGGTGTCACCAAGTGAACAACTTGGCTGAAACGTGCAATTTTCTTGCAGGGCCAAAAGAAATCACTCCCACGTGACACTACCTCTTGCCTGAGCTGCTGGACAACCTCCTCCACAGTCCCTACATGGTGCTTAGCTTGGACAAACTTTCTCTTCATCAGCTCCTTCACGGCCCAGGTGAGCAGCAGGAGGGCTGCTGTGGAGCTGCACACCAGGATGGAGACAGAGCAGGGGTTAAACCCCAGCTCTAAGAGGAGCTGCCTCACCTTCTTGCAGATCATGTTGACTAATCCCACTGTAGAGCCAGGAACCTGCAAGGACAAGAGAAATGAAGCAAGAGGGACCTCTTGCTGCTGTAAATGGAGCTTGGATCTTCTTCCAGAGGGCCGGATCCTGGGAGGGGGGTGACTGGTAGCTGGTGGCAGGAGCAGGTTGTTAACCTCTGGGAAACAGTCTAAAAGCAGTAGGGTGAAATGGAAGAACAGAAGTGTATAAATTCGCAGGTGAACAGCAAACAATTGCTTATTGCTTCTTCTGAAATAAGGGAAAGCAAATGAAATAGCCAAGGGCGGCAAACAGGAGATGTCATTTCCCTGTAGCATGTGGATAAACTGTGGATCTCCCTGCTGCAGGACACTGTGAGTGCCAGAACCAGATTGCTTCACACCAGAAATATGTGTACGAGTACACAGCTATTAGTCACAGAAACCTAACCCCTGGCTTGAGAAGCCACAGCTCTCTGGATGCCAGGGGACAGCGTTAAGGAAAACATTGCTGTGTGTTTGCCACGCTCTTGGCATCTGCTCTGGTGTCAGAGGAATGGGGGCTAGCTGGTCCTTCAGCCTGAGCCGGTCCAGCTGATCATGTGTGATGTGTCACAGCTGGAAGAAGATGACGCCTTTCTGCCCCTCCTTTGGTAACCACAGGGTTACAGCATCTCTGGGGTGTGGTGGTACCCACCCAGTTGAAGCTCTGTGGACACACAGAGGGGTGTGGGCAATGGGGAAGTAAGCCTTCACGGATCCAGCTGATCCTTTCGTCCTCCCTTAGCCGCAGGCTCCAGCCCTGCCAGGCAGTGGAGGAGGTGCAGGGGCAGGATCCATCCTCATTTCCAGCACCCCAAGATCCCTTTGCTGCAGCGTATGGGCAGCCCTATGGACATAACAGCAGAAAAGCTCCACTTGCTCATCTGGCAAGGACACACCAGTGTCCCAATGGGACATCAGGGCATCACTCGCCCCACAAGCCAGCAGTTGGCCCCCCACCCCGGCCCATGGGGAGCAAGGCCAGACCTATTTTACCTCTCTTAGGCAGTCCCAGGCCCATCTTCCTGCACAGGGTGTCCCCAGCCACCACCTGCCTATGCTGGAGCCCCCCTGTCCTCTGCCCTGTTGCATCTCTGCTGGCAGCTGGGTCACAGCAGAGACCTGCTGCATTTTGGGGTTTCCCATGCCCTGGAGCTGGCCAGCCCCAGCAGAGATTCAAGCCTTGCCACTGTCCTGCCTGATGCATCAACCCCATTTATTCATCCCCATACACTTACCCAGGAGAGGGGAGAAGGGGGGTCTCTGGCAGCAGCTCCTGGAGGCACAGGTGCTCCAGGCATAAAGCTCGTGTTTTGTTTTCTTCCCTTTGACAAGCTGAACTGCAGAAGTTGAAAATTGTTCCTGCATGAGATATTTTAAGCAGGGTTTAAACTAGGGGGAAGAGGGTTGGAGAAGTAATTTTGTCTTCCAGCAGAACTAGTTTTTAACTTCTGTTCCTCTAAAGTTCACCACCTTTCTTGTTCTCTTGTTAAAAGACTTCAGGTGCACCTGGTTTTACAGCCTGCAGGGAAACAGCCCTATTTTGGCATTGTGCATCAGTGCAGCTGAGGAGAGCGTGAAGCCTCCAGCATGAGAAAGAAGGAAGGAGGAGATAGGGCTCACAGCATCTGCTCTTACCAGCCTTGAGCTGATTCCATCCTCTTGGCTCACTGCAAAGGCATCCCTACCAACCCCACTCCCCTTGCAGTTTCTTGTGCCCCGAGTAGTCTGCACACATGGGACTGCAGTGCCCTTGGAAGCTCGCATTACTGTATAATCCTCTGAGCCCCACAGTCTGAAGGGGGGGGGGGGGGGGACAAAAAGAGAGG